ACAAGGAATAATAAAGACGAACTGTAAATATAAATGTTTTGAGTTTGAATTTTAATAAATTTTTGGGGCTAAGTTATAAGGAATAAAATTTTTCATGAATATCTTAGTTTCAGTATGAATGTCTATCTTTAATTAGATTAAAAAAGAGATTAATCGAAATGTATGTAAATTAATTAGAACATTCTTGGATCTTGACTATTGAAACAGAAAAAAAAACAGAAAAAACGGAGAGACGGAGAGAGAGACCGACATGCTGAAAGGACTAACGCATGTTGACAAAACTAAAGAAATGTGCGGTATGGTTCCGTGTTAAATTAAAAGCCGTGGAGTGACTTCATGCATTACGTAAACTTTACATATCTCTCTCTCTCTCTCTCTGACTTCATTTCTTTAGTTTTGTCAACATGCGTTAGTCCTTTCAGCCTGTCGCTCTCTCTCTCTCTCTCTCTCTCTATATATATATATGTATATATACACGAAATCAACGTCAATCATAAATAATCTAATAATCTCTAAAAATTGTAAGTGATAATCAAATATTATAAATAATCTTTAAAAGTTATAAATAATTTTTAAAAATAATAAAAATAAATCACACGACTTATAACATTGATACGGTAGAAAAAAAATTTGGTACCATAAAATTCTCTCCCTATATATATATACTAGTAATGAAGGCATGATAAACGAAAGATTTGAATGTGAAATAAAAATTTTATATTTCTCGATTTTTTTGATTATATTAATTAAAATTAATTTTTATCTATTATTTTTTTAAAAATAGGATCAAAATTTTCTTAAAGTGCATAACTTAAAAAAAAAAATTCAATATGTGTATACTATAATGTATGGATAATGCATAAAATAAAAAATGTGTTAAATTATAAATTAATCAAATATTAAATAATTGAACATGTGACAAAATTAAGTGATATAATGTTTTTAGAAAGAAAAAATATATAAGGGAATAAAATTTTAACTTACTAGCTAACTTTTTAGATAGAGGTGAAAATTTTCGACTCGAACTTGACACAAATTTAATGACACGAACTCGAAAATGACCTGACACGTGAACACAAAATATAAACAAGTTGTGTTCGGGTTCAACCTGCCAAAATCAAAATTAACACAATTAACTCGTTTATTTAATCGTGTCGACACTAACCCGACACTGACCCATTAATGACACAAACACGACATGATAATTTTTATTCAAAAATGATATGCTCAACCTGCTTAGATATAGTATAAAAAGAAAATATGGTCTCAATTCAACAATATGGTAACTATTCTTCTCTAGTAGGATAGAGGAGATCTATTTTAAGCCTAACAACTTTAAAATTATGATAACTTTGAAAGATTTAGTTAAGAATGAACATTTCTTTTATTTTCTTGTTTGCATTGTAACACGAGCAACACTGAATTGACACGATTAAAATATTTAATTAATATTATATACATAAAATGTTAATTATTTGTAATTGTTTATTAAGTACTGACATAATTATTGTATAAAAAAATATTTTTATTTATTATTATTGATGATGATGGATTTAAGTTTAGACCCTTTCCGAAGTACAAAACCCCTTTGGGCTCATGTGAAACGACTCAAGCACCTCATCAAGATAGCATTCATCAGGCTCGAGTTGGACTATAGCCCAGCTCCATGGAAGCCCAGAATAATTTTGTTCAAAATAGATGTCAATTCGGTATAAACAATCTTGATACTAATATCCGCTTGGGAGTTGGGAGCCCGACACCAAGCAATTCACAAATAATCATATCGCGATACATGGGCATGAGACAAGGAGACAATACCTGATAATCATAACGAACGAATATTCATCGACAGTGGAGATGACTCATGTATCCGTTCAAGGCGCAGTGGACGGAAAAAAAGTCAAAGATGATAGGATCAGCTATAGAATAAATAAGAAGAGAACCACAGAATTAGCCAATAAAGAAACCACCATGAAACCCTAATAATGAGATGTATAAATAGCAAACAATACCATTGTGTAAATATATATGAAAAGAAATCACCTAGCAATAACCTAGAAAAATACTCTAGAAAAGACTTCCAGTCAAATCTCTTGTAATAGGAATCTTATTCCCCAATGAATACAACTCCTCAAAGAGCAATAGCCTCCCTTACAGTAGAGTAGAGGTAGTCTTAATCTTTCGGTTGTGGTAAACCAATCATATTTTTGTCTTTGTATCACCTTCAATACTTGGTACATTTTCATAGACACGTACTCATTCCTTCTAAGTCCAGGTCTGTAATTGAGTCACTTAATTTCGAGTATTATCAATTATTAGGATAATTTTTAGTTTATAAAAAAGAATATGAGCATGGATTTATTTAAGTGAAAATAGAAACTTAGCATTAAATTTTTAATTTAAAGTTCATATTGATCAACACGAATATGAACACAAATAGACACAAAAATAAATAAGTCAACACGATACAATTAATTAATTAAATTAAATTAAAATTAATTAATATTCGATATGAATCTACAATAATCTGATGTAAACTCGGAACGATACGAGTCTGACTGTCGCCCTATATATATATATATTTGTAAGCATATGGTTGTCTTAAAATCAAAATCTTATGATTCCATCTTCAAATCAAATCAGAATGGGACACGACAAAACATCCAAGTTGTCTTCCATCATATTTCATTATCGTGGGCAGCTTTATTCTACAAACTTTTCTTTCCACCATCAAATCATTTTTTTATTACAGCTGTTATGCGTTGGCAACTCTTTCGATATTAACAATAAATCACTGTAATTTAAACTGTATTAGGATATATTCTTAAAAGGATAAGAATAATTAATCTTTAAAAAATATAAAAAGTGATTAAATATATAATTTTTAAATGATTAAATCTTCAAATTAAATGTAAATATTATAGTACATGAACTTAATTAATTGACCTTATTTATGAATCTAATCACTCTTTATCATATAATTGACAACTGCTTACAAATTGATAATTATGATGTATTATAAAAATAAATTAGATCAATAAATTAAGTCAAAATAATATTTTCTTTTTTCATCGTAATATTGTTGGCACTCTCGTATATTATGTCTAACTCCAAGTAGTAATAGAGTCTATAGAGTCGATTTATAAATTCAGACGTCTTGAGTTCAAATTTTAACATCTCATAATATTAAATTTTGAGAGATTTATTCTTCAAGAATATCCTAATTTCGATGTGAATGACCTAACTTTAACCAAATTTAAAAAAAAAAATTAATTAAAATATACATAAATTAATCTGAACACCCTTAAACTAAAAAAAATATATATCATGATCGTTTATTGGGCCCCACCAGTTCTTGTAGTTTTATCGGCTCATTGGGTTGGTAAAAGGGAACCCTATCCATCTCGGGTACCACAGCAGACCAGGCATTCTTCTGGAGGATTTATCTTTAAATTTGTTTTTTATTTTTATCCTTCTAATTTGTTTTTTATTTTGCGATATAGGAAAATAGTTATTTTTTAATTGGAATTCAACTGTAGATGCATGAGAGATTCTTTGCTATTCGGTTATCCTAATTTAATTCGAGTATTATTTGAATTCAATGAATATAATTTAATAAAGTTATAATTATATTAACTTTCTGATGTGAAGTCTCGGTCTCAAATCATGTACCTTGTCGGAATTATTTATAGTAACGTATATAATTTATTTACAAATAAATACTATGCAAAAAATTGAAACTGCAAAATTTTTCACCAAAAAATAAAGTACATACCTAAATTAAAACCAGAATTGCAGTATAACTTGCATAAATCGAGTTAAAAATATAATTCGTGCGATTCTGGAGACAAAAAGATTAGATTGATACTTAAATTGAATTGAATTTGGATTGACAATTTTATATCTTGTATTGATCATCTTGAGCTGACTAGTCAACCCAACAAATCTACACGTATCTCACCTTTAACTATTGAATTCATATTCTAATGCAAAAATTAATATATGACTAGGCATAATTGAATAGACGATATCCTAGAAGCTTGGCTAAAATCAATCTTTTCATTGGACTCTAACTATTGTCTTTTTTTTTAGATCAATGTTCAGGAGTGTTTAGATCAGTTTACGTGTATTTTAATTATTTTTTTTTTGATCCGATTAAAGATTTGTCATCCACGTTGAAGTAAAGTATTCGTGAAGGATAAATTTATTCTTTAATTCAACATGCATGGCCACACAATGACACAAGCCTTTTCTAATTGCAAACCAAGGCCACACAAGCAATTCACACACATAATATGTCGGCACTCAAATCTCTTTCACTTACTGTTTCTCGTACCATCAAGTAGACATTGTTCTATTTGATGTTCGTTGTGATGTGTTTGAGAGAGGCCATCATCCTTCCTACGAAACTCATGACTACACAATGTGACAGTGCTATCTAAGTAATGCAACGATTTGGCGTTTGATTTATTAATCCAAAAGTTTAAAATTCGTTTTAAATTTCAATAAAAGAAAATTTTAGATCTCGTTTAAAAATTCCATTTCACACTTATATTAAATTTTGGCACCCCCTTCGTAATTGTCTTATTATATTATATATGGTCCCATTTTTAGTTAGAAAAAAGAAGATAGACTTGTATATTAATGCTTAATATGCCAAGTCTACGAGGTTGCAATGATATGGACTTGATAAACAAAGTACATATCAATTTTGCCTTGGCCTTTCTAACCAAACTGTCAACCTTTGCTAAAGACATCTACCTAACAGTCCAATGCACTCGGAAAATTTGAATCGAACTCAGTAATAATAAGAATAAAATATAAATTTAGATAAATTTGAATTTTAGTAATTCTTTAAAAGTTATGTCACGAAAAATTTATTTTTTATAAATACTTTAATCTCAGCGTGGATAACATGAGTTTGACCAGATTTAAAAAAGAATTAATCAAAATCTGCAAAAACTAGTTCCTGACTGTCGAACCGGAAAAAAAAAGGGAAAACTCGAATTGAAACATCTCTCTAACACTATAAGGCTGCAGTCTCCTGCCATTGCCCTCTCATCCCCTCTCTCTCTCTCTCTCTCTCGTTGTCTAAGCTATCTATCTCAATCTCTCTCCACCTAGCAGAGAAAAAATGGGCAGTGATGCTCTTGTTCATGTCTTTCTAGTGTCCTTTCCAGGGCAAGGACATGTTAACCCTCTACTTAGACTTGGCAAGCGACTTGCTTCCAGAGGTCTGCTTATCACCTTCTCTGCACCGGAAAGCATCGGAAAACAAATGCGAGAAGCCAACAACATCACCGACGAACCAACTCCGGTAGGTGATGGCTTCATCAGGTTCGAATTCTTCGAAGATGGATGGGATGAAGACGATCCCAGACGCTACGATCTTGATGCCTACATGCCTCAAATTGAACTCACTGGAAAGGAGGTATAGTGGAAAACATAAAATAAGAGTTTTTATTATGAAGTTACTAGGCTAATCTGTATATGAAGATACAATATAATATATATGATTTTGAAGTTACAAAGAGTAATTTGTGTCTGAAAGTACATGCAATATAAATAATTTTGAGAGAAATATTGGTGGCCGTTAAACAAATCTATTTACGATCGAATGAGTTTATTAAAGTCAATCATATTTTATATCATAGATATATAATCTATAACACGAGTTTATATTTATATTATAGATATATAATCTATAACACGAGTTTATGGAGTTTTTGTATTTTCGAAAACTAAAGTAGCCCGTGAACCTAAAAAAAAGGGTTCTCTCATTAGGAAGCATAACTTTATTTTTGTTTTCTAATTTTTTCATAAGAAATGTTACTGAAATTTAAAAAATAGGTTGAAGTACTTATTAGTTCGACAAAACTTTTGGCATAATGAATCTATTTGATTTCTCGAATCACTTCCTTTAATCGCTTCCATTCTCTTACACAGGTACTCCCTCGTATGATCAAAAAACATGAGGAGGAAAATCGCCCAGTTTCATGCCTCGTAAACAACCCCTTTATTCCTTGGGTTTCCGACGTCGCCGAGACTCTTGGCCTCCCCAGTGCCATGCTCTGGGTGCAATCTTGTGCTTGCTTATCAACTTACTACCACTATTATCACAAAACAGTGCCTTTTCCTAGTGAAATCGAACCCGAAATTGATGTTCAATTACCATCCATGCCTGTACTGAAATATGATGAAGTACCTAGCTTTTTACACCCTTCAACTCCATATCCATTCTTGAGGAGGGCCATTTTGGGTCAGTACAAGAACTTGTCAAAACCTTTTTGTATATTAATGGACACATTTCAAGAGCTTGAACATGAGGTTATTGAGTACATGTCAAAGCTTTGCCCTATCAAACCCATTGGCCCATTATGTAAGAACCCTAAAGCTATTAGCTCAGCCATTCGTGGTGACTTCTTGAAGGCCGACGACTGCGTCGGGTGGCTCGATTCGAAGCCTCCCTCCTCCGTCGTGTACATCTCTTTTGGCAGCGTTGTCAGCTTGAAGCAAGGGCAAATCCATGAAATTGCTTATGGACTTTTGAAATCAGAAGTCTCCTTCTTGTGGGTCATGAGGCCACCCCAAAAAGACTCCGGCTTTGAAGCGTCAGGTATCGTTTGATATATATATTTATCATTTTTTTTTTGTTCAATCGTTAAGGTGTTGAGGTTGATACTAATTGTCTCTCCGGTCTAGTCAAAGACAAATTAAATTATTTATATTAAGAGTAAGGTATTCATAAAAAATGATGACTTAGTTTTAATATGTTGTTAAAATTCGAACTCGTTTATATATAAAATAGTCAAGTTACTTGAACTTGACTACAATTCGGCTAAATTTATTTTTTAAACGAGTCAATCTTAAAAAAATTTTAGGTTCATTTAAAAAAATAAACTCGACAGACTCGACTCGAATTTACAAAATTTAACTCGGTTTTTAATCCTATTGGTGACTCTTATTAGTTAAGCTGCCTTGGGTTATATATATTTATCATTGAGAAGCATACAAATCACTATTATAGGATAGTAATCAAGTATATATTTCTCCATTTTTTGACGAATGGTGTGTGGTTTTTTTTTTTTTTTCCAGTTTTACCAGATGGGTTCTTGGAAGCCGCAGGTGATAAGGGAAAGGTGGTGCAATGGAGTCCACAGGAGCAAGTGCTCAGCCACCCTTCGGTGGCGTGTTTCGTGACACACTGCGGTTGGAACTCATCGATGGAGGCAATTTCCAGTGGCGTGCCCGTGGTGGCGTTTCCTCAATGGGGTGATCAAGTTACTGATGCCAAATACTTGGTTGACGAGTTCAAAGTTGGAATTAGAATGTGTAGGGGTGAGGCTGAGAATAGGATAATACCTAGGGACGAGGTGGAGAAGTGCTTGCGAGAGGCTACCAACGGGCCAAAGGCCGCGGAGATGAAGGAAAATGCTTTGAAGTGGAAGAAGGCGGCAGAGGAGGCGGTGGAGGAGGGTGGCTCCTCCGATCAAAATATGAAAGCTTTTGTGGCGGAGGTCAAGAGGTTAAGTGTGAATGTTTCTATGAAGAAAGCCAAGGAATGAGTCTTGTGCCAATGGTTGAATGATACGTTTGGCAATTTGACTATATACGAAAAAACTGCTATGTTAGGCAACTTCGGCAATTCATGTATATGTTTTGTTAGTATTTATATATAGAACTGTAAAATTCTATTAGCTTGAAAACATAATACTCATTTTATGCCTTGAGTGAGAATTTCGATTATCCTATCTCAATAGTTTTATACTATTTACATTGACTATAACCAAGCCCAAGGTTAAGATTTTGGGTTTAGCCTAAACCAGGTTTGCATAATTTGTTTATCCTTTTTCCCGCAGCTCATGCTTCTGTTGATATCAAAAATCGAAATTAATTAAATCCCGAATTAAGTACAAGCATCTCTGTTATCGATTTTCAAAACTCAAAACTTTCATTTCTTTCCTTTCTTTCAGGGCAACCAAATATGACAAAAATACTACCAAAGCATTGTGTTGCAACCCTGAATATTATGTCCCATTCATTATTCTAAGAAACACGAATACAAATACGATTAAAAATATGTATATATACATACATCGTTATCCTCACATTTGCACAAATCAGTCAATTAAGAACTCCTAACCTTTCCCAGTGACTTAAAAAATCTAATCATATGATCATACACATCTTCGTTTGCCCTTACACTCAAAAGAAAATCTAAGTGAGCATAGTTCTCCAGATAAAGCAATTCAGGCTTCGACTGCAGTTCTTTTAGAGTGCGCTCCACATTGTTCACATCTGCCAAGGCATCGAGTCCCCCATAACCCAGCCATAATGGCAATGAATCGGGTATGTGACTAAGATCAAATACAGGGGGTTTCAATTGCCCATATTTCATCATGTTTCTCAACTTTCCGAAGTCATATTTTGCAAAAGTACCCTTAAGAATCACTGCAAGCCATAAAAAGAGGGTTGAGATAAACCATCAAGAAATTATAATAAAGTGACTAGATATTGGCAGCAAGTCCAGAGCACATACTTTGGAAAAGATGGTTCAAGTTCTTTGAGGATGATGGTTGTGGTTCATATTCAAGATAGATATCTACCCGAGAGTTGTTGAAGCAATAGTTTTTCCCTGCAAAGTAAAATTGAGTTGTCAATGGGTGTGGTTCATGGAGAAAAGTGGTGAAAAACAAATGAGATTTGATGACAACTGACTGCTTCACCTAAAACCATATCAAATATTGTTTTCACTACGAGATTGGTTGTTTCAGCCCCGTTACAGTCTTTCCTAGTTTCAAGTTTGGATCTTGATGCAAAATGGTTGATACTTCACCCAAATTGGCTCTTGGTGCGTGGATGTCCAACGAAGTTTATCGGGCACACTTACCTTTGAACCTTCACCTACTACCCGACAGAGAGTATCATGAAGACTTAAGGTTCTCCGGATATAATGGATACTGTTACATACCTAATAAACTGTTTTCCACGGAAATAGCTTTGCCATGCATGTCTAACTTTATTGCGTAAGATCACAATCTAGTAAGCAGATCCAAAATTATGGCACACCACCATCTCTCAAAAGAAGCTTTGTTTCCTCTGTTCATGATCCAGTATGTCAACTTTGTTATGTTTAAGAAATTTAATTCTTTATCTTTTTTACTAATTTAGTGCTCCAACGTCTCCAAACTTGTTAATTCACGCATAGATGGTCAAGGCAAAAAAAATATATCAGGGGGGTAGCCCTCCTTTTCTCCTTAGAGTCTTAGACAAAACAAGCTTGGACAAAGGCGGAAATCGATCCCAGTTTTCCGTGTGAGTAGCTAAAGACTAAGTTCTGGCCAAGCTAGTCAGCAATAATAGGCGGTATCCACCAAACTCAAACCCAACCATCTACACTAAGAAATTTTGAAAATGTCGGGCAGCACTACAAACCAAATGCCCAAATGAGGGAAAGGAGGGTCTTTATAACATGGTGGTAGCACCACTTGGCGAACGTCGTCAACTAGTATTATATAATTATTGAGGTGGCAGCATTTTCCTTTCAGATAGAGAATTCAAACAGAAAGACCACTATCAGTAAATGACACCATACTGTCAAAATACAAAATTTTCATGCAGGAGGACAAAAAAAAGAGGCTGGAATGATATGAGAAACGGAAAAAGAGCAAGAAAAACCTGTAATGGAAGTTAGCAAGTCGTTGCAATCCGTATGTCCATCACATACCATACCATGAGGCCAGTTAGCAGATTACTGCATACATTACATATAAATCATGAACTAACACTAGCATCACTAATAAAGCTGAAAAAAAAATGACGCAGAAACAGGAAACAAAAAGAGGTAAGACCTCTTAAAATTAAGTTCATGAATGCCCAATGCACGAATCACCTGTCAAGTGAGAATCAATAAATCAGTAATATGAAATTGTTTCCTCACGCCAATAGACATCAAGAAACTAGAGTACCTTGTCCACACGAATTTTAACCAATCTCAGAGGAAATTGAGCAGTAATATGATCCAAGTATGATATGGGGCAAAGAAGTGCAGCAGCTTCGACCATTTTCACCATCTCTGGCTGAGTAAAAGCAGCCAGAGACAAGATCGTCCCCTGTAAAACACAGAACCCATAATAAGGAAGTAACAGAACCCACAGATAAACTAATTAGAAAAAGGTTAGGTGCAGAGAGATGAAGACCTGTGAATGCCCAACGGTAAAAACTTTTGAGTTTGTAACTGAATTTACATAATGGATCATTGCTGCAAGGTCATACAATGCCAACTCCAATCCCAAAATTCTTAAAAAAAGCCTAGACAAACTATTATCATAAAACTGCCACGCAGAACATGCCTACACACAACATAAATACGAAAGCTCTTCGCCACACTGCCATTCAAGACAAGCACGCAATCAACAAATCGGTCAATTTCTGAAACAAAATTTCCATGAAATACATAAATATACACGCATTTTCTCATGACAAGATAGAAATCTACATGTATGCATTAGTTTCCTGTAATGGCCAAAGTTATTTTGCTGTCTATTCCCATTTCTAGATGTTGATGCCAAATTGTTCACTCCAAGTCGTTTCTGCTCACCAAATTCGTATAAAATTTACAGCAACTGAAATTTTTTGATAATTTAGAAGTATCTAAAAGAAGAAGCGAGGACTAAAGTGGTTGTGAAGCAGACAAACATTATAAAGAAAAAAAATTGACCAGCCACAGCACATGTTGTCTGTTACTAACCAAAAAAAGTTACATGTGAGCATATGTACATCCTCTTGTGCTTGTATATGCAAATGCAAAAGAAAATACTATAAGAAAAAGAGCCACCCAAGGATTTTCTGATACGTTATATGGCTTTCACTGTAATGTTATCAGTCAGTTATTAATATGAAAGTCCGAAGCATTTTCAAAAAGCAATAGAGATATTATACAAGGTACGCCTACCTTATCTTTCTCAGATAAAGATATATGTCCATGACTCCAACGAGTCCCACACACATTTCCAACCCAAACATCAACATCATGATCAGCAAGCATGAAGCCCAAAGAATGATTCATGGAATCCATAAACCGCGCATCACCTGCCTGTTTCAGTCTCAAATATGCATAGGATTCAAGATGTCTACAGATAAGGTCATCAGTTATATATACCTGACGAACACAAAAATGGACGAAATTCACCTATGTGAAAGAGTGTCAATGAAAGTAAAGAGGAAGCATTTAGTGATTCTAGGCATGGGAGCAAGCAACAAGGATAAAAGAAATATATTCTAGGAGATTGAAATTGCGAATTACTTTGATGATGTTGATTTGATAAATTGAATATTTATTAAATAATTTGATTAATTGAGTGTTAATTGGATAAATTTGAATATAAATTAGGTGAATGGAATGTTAATTTGACATTAATTTGATTAATTTAATGTTAACTAGTTGAATTTGAATGTTAATTTTATGAATTAAATGCTTGTTATATAAAATTGCATGTTAATTGGATGAAAATTGAATATTAATTTGGTATTAAATTGATGAATTGAATATTAATTAGAAGAAATTGTATATTAATTTGGTGTTAATTTGATAAATTGAATGTTTATTGTTTGATTTGGAAAGTTAATTCAATGAATTGAGTGTTAATTGAATAAAATTGAAAGTTTATTTGATTAATTTAACGTTAACTACTTGAATTTGAATGTTAATTTAGTGAATTAAATACTTATTAGAAAAAATTGAATGTTAATTTGGTATTAATTTGATAAATTAAATGTTAATTTGGTGTAAATTTGATAAATTAAATGTTAATTTGGTGTAAATTTGATAAATTAAATTTTAATAGGATGAAATTGCATATTGCTTTTGTGTTGTTTTGATAAATTGAATATTTATTAAATAATTTTGGATGTTAATTTGATTAATTGAGTGTTAATTTGATGAATTTGACTATAAATTAGATGAATTGAATATTTATTTGACGTTAATTTGATTAATTTAATATTAACTAGTTGAATTTGAATGTTAATTTAATGAATTAAATACTTATTCGATAAAATTTCATGTTAATTCTATGAATTGAATATTAATTATATGAAATTGTATGTTACTTTGGTGTTAATTTGATAAATTAAATACTAATTATATGAAATTGTATTACTTTGGTATTAATTTCATAAATTGAATCTTTACTGTTTGATTTGAAAAGTAAATTGAATGAATTTAGTGTTAAGTGAATGAATTTAAAAGTTTGTTTGATTAATTTAACGTTAACGTCGTATTTGAATGTTAATTTAATGAATTAAATGCTAATTAAAAAAAAATTGAATATTAATTAGATAAAATTAATTATTAATTTAGTGTTAATTTGATAAATTCAATTTTAATTGGATGAAATTACATGTTAATATAGTGTTGATTTGATAAATTGAATATTTTTAAAATAATTTTGGATGTTAATTTAATTAATTTAGTGTTAATTGGATGAATTTGAATGCAAATTAGATGAATTCAATATTAATTTGAGTAATTTATTATTAACTTGTTGCATATAATTATTAATTTAATGAACTAAATGTTTATTAGATAAAATTGAATGTTAATTGGAAGAAAATTAAATGTTAATTTGATGCTAAATTGATGAATGGAATATTAATTAGATGGAATTGTATATTACCTTTGTGTTAATTTAATAAATTGAATCTTTATTATTTAATTTGAAATGTTAATTCAATGAATTGAGTGTTAATTGAATGAAATTGAAAGTTTATTTGATTAATTTAATGTTAATTAGTTGAATTTGAATGTTAATTTAGTGAATTAAATACTTATTAGAAAAAATTAAATGTTTATTTGATGTTAATTTAATGAATTGAATGTTAATGTGATGTTAATTTGGTGAATTAAATATAAATTGGATGACATTAAATGTTTGTTTAGTGTTCATTTGATAAATTGAATTTTTATTGGCTGGTAATTGAATGTTAATTGAATGATTTTGATATAAATTAAATGAATTTAATATTAATTAAGTTGAATTTTAATATTAATTTAATTAATTGAATGTGTTAATGTAATGTTAATTTGTTAATTACGTGTTAATTAAATACTTTAAATGATACTTTTGATCGCTCCTTGCCATGATCCTTGACTGGAAGTCTTAAGCCCACCTGCCTAGTCTTGGAGCAGATTGGTCCTAATTAGATCGGTAGTCTTGAAGTTAAATCTATCATGAGTAGATCGGTGGTCTTGATTGCTAACAAAGACTTGATCTGTCGTGATTAGATCGGTGTTCTTTATCGATACCCAATCACATGACCGGACCTGATTAGATTGGTTGATCGGTACCCAAGCACATGACCGGTCCTTCTTAGTTTGATATTTGATCGCACATGCCAAGCACATGACAGGTCCAGTGTTAAACTAAAATTAGTTAATAACACTTTTATCATAAGAATATGTATATTTTATTATTTTGATCCCTAAAATATAATATTTTTTTCAATTTAGCCCCTAAAGTATTTAATTTTGTATTTATTTGATAAATTGTGTGTTAATTGGATGTTTTTGAATATTGATTTGATAAGTTGAATGTTAATTGGATGAATCTGAAAGTTAATTTGATGTTGATTTGCCGAATTGCATATTAGTTGAATATTTTCAAGATAAAATTAAAAAAATTAATATTTTAGGTATAAATTGATAAAATATGCATATTTTAGGGGTAAAAGTATATTAACCCATTGAATGTTAATTTGATGGATTAAATATTAATTAAATAAAATTAAATGTTACTTTAGTGTTGATTTGATCAATTGAATCTTTATTAGATTATTTCAGATGTTAATTTGTTGAATTGAGTGGTAATTGGATGAATATGAATGCTAATTTGATGAGTTGAATGCTTATTATTAGATGAAAGTGAATGTTAATTTTATAAATTATATATTAAATAATAATTTGGTAACATCCACCTACTGAATGGGTAGCCAATAAAATATAAAATAGCATTTTAAATTTCATCAACATTTCTCATTTATAAATTTAGAGTAGAGGGATAAGCTATAAAATTTTAAGAAAATTTTTTATTGACACCTACTTTTCTTCTAGAAAAAAACCTAGACCCAATGATTAAACTTGTAACTCGGAATTCAAAATAAATATTTTCTTAGATCTTGAATAAAGAGATTGAATATTCCTTCTAATAAATGTCGTTGATAGAAATGAAACATAGAATTGAGAAATTTGACTATAACCTTTGATTTGAACTTTCACATCAAAATTGCACTTTTCTTTTTTACATCTTTCTTTTATTAGTAAGATTTAAATATCATCGTTTATTAATCTATAATCCCCATATTTGTCATGCTACGAATATAAGTAGACAAATTGCGTTGTTTCCTTTAAGATAAATTAAACACAAAAACTCTAGCAAACTCGTACCTTTGCTCGGTCGCAATTCTCTTTTAATATTGTATCAAACAAGTTATTTTTTGGTTACTAATATTTTTCCACCACTAACAAATTTGAATGATTATTAAACCAAACATTTCTAATAAAAAAACAAATTAAATTTCCATAAGATTGGTTCAAAGTCAACCGTTCATGGTCCAAACTATACCCAACTAAAACAATCATACCATAAAGAAAACAAATTTAATCTGTCACCTCATCACACCTACACCCAATGTTTATAATATTTCATCCAAATCACTACAAGTCAGCCCTTATAATTTGGGAGTTATCGAGAAAAATGTTTTTTAGTGGTAAAAAAAGTTGTTGTTAAAAATGAATAAATCGCCGCTAAAAATTTTCTGCGACGGAAAAACTTAGTCGCCAATTTGTCGCGGCAATCTCGTCACTGAAAGTTTTGGACTACCAACTAAAATATCGTCGCTAAAGTAGATTATCAGTGACAAAAAACTTAATCGCTTAAAAATTTATTTAATTGTCACAAAAAAATTTTTATCACCGAAATTATATTATGGTCATATTTTTTCTCTTTGGTGACGATATAATATTTGTCGCTGAAAATCAAAGTACATTTTTTGTGACTAACATATTTTCGACGCCAAATAACAGATGAACAAATTTTATTAATGGGTAATATGACACGACTCGTTTAACCTATTTAATTTTAAAAATATTATATCAACATATTTTAATACTTCACTTTTCTTACTCTATTTTTTTTTACTATCATTTGTACTTACTCAAAAAAAAAAGAAATTTCTAGTCAAATCTCACATAAAAATCAAATTTTAAGGCTAAAAAAAAAGGCAAGAGACTACTGTTTTTTATAGGCAAGTCAGCCCTCTTCATCTCACCTCTTGTGTCGATGTGGGACAAAAACAAAAGACATTGGTTTGTTTTTGTCTTTGAACTTTTTGCGACAATTTTTTTTACGTATCACAAAAAGTCGTCGCAGTAAAATATTTTTCTTGTAGTGATATTCTGCGACCAAATATAAATTGTCGTCAAACAAAAAAAAAAGTTTACTTTTTTTTTTCTGCCACAAACATGTGTTGTCGTTAAGTATTATTATTTTTGTTTTCTTATTTTTTCATTATTTGACAAAAATTTTGTGATCAAAAAATTATTTTGACGACAATTTTTTTTATTGCCCATAATATTAACAATTAGTGCATTTTTTTTTGGAAAGAATGTTTTTACGAAGATTATTGGCGACGATTATAAAAAATGGTCCCCAAAAATATCATAAAAAAATTTACCACAAAAAATATTTAAAATTTTCACCAAAAATTATTTTTTTATAACAAATTTTATTATTTGTCGTAAAAACTCGTCGCTAAAAAACAAATATGTTGAATTGCATGTACGCAGATAAGAATCAACATTCTCACCGCCCTCCCCTCAAAAAAAAAATATATATATATTGTTCGTTTATTGGCCCCACCAGTTCTTGTAGTTTTACCGGCTCATTGGGTTGGTAAAAAGTAAACCCTATCCATGTTGGGTACCACACCCAGACCAGACATTCTTCTGGAGGATTTATCTTTATAATTTGCTTTTTATTTTGCGATATACGAAAATAGTTATTTTTTAAT